AAGCTTGCACTATTTCTACTATTGGTAACTTGACAAGCTAAAGGATGACAGCGAGATACATTGTCAGTTCAAGAATTATCATGTTGACTAGTAATCAACATTGCTAATCATGCATGAAATGAGAATGACAAGATGCATGAGAATCACAAACATATTGGCTTTTGAATCCAAATCATTGTTGCTTTTATTAAGTAAACTGTCATTACAAGTATTGATATTACAAAAGCTACAATCTGACTTTTTACAGTTTAAGCTAAAGGAGAGTTGGACACTACTAAAAAGATACAAGACACATAATTGTAATTGGGAAAACTATTAGAAGCAACATATTGTGAAGACAAATGGGAGGAGCGAAGACTCAACTGATAAAGTCCAGCTTTAAGCTCTCCCTACAACAACACTTTCCTTGTAGCCTTGTCCTTAACAGTACAAAAATCAGAAGTGAATTCTACTACAACATTGTTATCTTTGGTAAATTTAGCAATGCTAAGAAAATTTTTGGTTATTCTAGGCACACATAAGACATTCTTCCTTTCAGCTACACCATTAGATGCAAGTGAATAAAGAGGTGTAGTTTCATGGATAATTCCTAAAAATTGGACATATGAGTTAAATCCAAAAGATTCGTACTCTCGGCCTCTATCACTTCGAATTCTTTTTATCTTTTTATCTAATTGGTTTTCAACTTCAAGGAGGAACAATTTAAAATTTTTAAGAGCATCACACTTATTCGTAAGTAAATACACATATGTAAACTTGAAAAAAAAACATCAATAAAAGTAATAATGTATATATTTCCTCCTTGAGTCAAAATTCCGTTAAACTCACATAAATCAGTATGAATCAATTCAAGCAATTATGTTTTTCTTTCAACACTTTTATGAGGCCCCTTAGTAATTTTTTCTTTATTGCAAATTCTTAGAATTATATATTGATAAGACACTATAGTCTGTTTGAAACTAGCTTTATTGAGAAGGAAACTTGACACCAGATTCTTCCTCAAGGAGGGGGTATACATCACATCTTTCGCCATTTAATGACTTAACTCCCGTCATCTTTAATCTTCCAACCTTCCATCTTTCATCTTCTAATCTTTCATGGGGATAATAAATATAAAAAAGAAAAAATGCAAGTTACAACAATAATAGTAGTGTGCTTCAGAGCCATGGGTGGTTTAAGTAATTTGGCCCTTGTATCCAGCATTTTATTTCTAACTTTTGGAACTTGAAATGTTGATGTGTCACGGCCCAAATCTCCACCCTTGGGCTGGGTTGATCGACCCCTCACGGGCCCACTCTGGGCTCGCCCCAGCGTGACTCACTAGGACTATCTCTCCCCCCTTAAGGGATTTCTTTTGCCTTCCTCACCACTCGAACCCAAGACCAAGGGGCTATAGTCAATTGGGGAGCATGGTGAGTACCATCAAGCCAAGAAATCCCTTAAGGGGGGGAGATAGTCCTAGTGAGTCACGCTGGGGCGAGCCCAGAGTGGGCCCGTGAGGGATCGATCAACCCAGCCCAAGGGTGGAGATTTGGGCCGTGACATGATGAGTTTGAAATCTCATCTGTAATTTTTACAATTTTGATGCCTCTTACGTTAACTTCAGTCTTGTTAATCGCTTCAATTATTTACACACAAGAAACAAGATTACTTTTTTCGCTTGAGGGAAAATCTTTCATGTGTTTGGTATAAATACTTGTAAATCTCAAATATTAATACTTGGCTAAGAGAAAAGAGTTAACGTCATGTTCCCACCCAAAAAATGGTCCATTGACAAATTCATACATGCCCACTTTTTAAATACCCTTTTAATACCCAAAGCACAATTTTGTTAGTAATTTTCGTTGTGAGGAAGGGTAAAATGGTCAAAAGTTCGTTATTAATAAGGGTATAATGGTCAATGAACATTTGGTCGTCAAAGAAGAGAAAAGAAAAGGGACAGCGCACGTTAGTAGCGTTGCAGTCGACGATTTTTGCCCTTTTTGGGCAGATCTTGATGTCCAAATCACTTCCGAGACCACCCACAGAATCCCCGTCACCTCTTCCACAAAGCCCAAGCCTCCATTTGTCATCAACATTCACTATTTCCCACCATTACCTCCATTCACATGGCTAACTCTTCAAGCCAGATTTTTGATCATTTTCGGTGTCGGAAATCCACCTTGAAACTCACTGCCTCCCTCATCCTCTTTCACCCTTAATTCATTCACCTTGAGCCTAGTGCACCTACCAATCACTAGAAATCACCGCCTAAGTTTTTGTGTGATTTCCCATCTTTTTGGCATTTTTTCAACCGATTCAGTCACCCAAAACACCCTCTACCACCACCGTCCGACTCCCCACCCTCTGCTCTTCAAAACCCACCCCTCCCCTAACCCTCCGTGAGAGCCATTGGCCGCCTATGTCCAGCTCTTTCCGCTGTGGGACAGTTGCAATTTGCTGTGGTTTCCTCCGCAAATCGTTGGGTTTTTGGTGCTCAATTAGTGGGTTTTGATTGGTTGTTTTGGTGTTGTGTGTGTGTGTGTTTTTTTTTTGCCACCATTCTCTCCTAGATCACTCCAACCTCGCTGCCCCAAAGTCGCTTACCAACTGTTCAATTCATTGCTACACCCAGCTCCCAGCATCCAACTGTGACAATTGCCAGCAGTGGAAGAGGCTAAGAAGAGAAGAAAAAAAGGGGTTTTTTTGTAAATCATTGTATTTCTCATCCAAAACATAATATTTGGGTACTGAAAGTGTATTTAAAAAGTGTACGGGTATGAATTTGTCAATGGACCACATTTTGGGTGGGAACTTTAACTCTTAACAGAAAAAGAATAGGATTAAGATGTACATTCCAAGGCGGCAATTAATGTGAAAGTGTTAAGAAACAATGACATAAACTGGTCCAGTTACAAAAGCCAGTCCAAAGGATAGCTATCATATATTCATATTGTCAACTAAAGCTCTACTGGACCATCATGACTAGGCGGTGTCTTTTGGGTCTCTGTTGGGTCAAATCAAATCCCTTTACCCTTTCCATCTTCCACATACACTGCAAGTTTAAGCTTACTAATGTATTGGCCTTGTTTTTCTATAAATATAATCTTCATAGTAATTACAATAAAATGAGAACAAAGGAAGAAACAAACCAAAAAAAAAAAAATGCCATGCCTTTTTCCATCATCTGGCTTTGTTCAAAATACAACCAATTCTTTATGCAGAAACCAGGTTCTTGATGTGGGTGTAAAGACTGTGGAGTCTTAACTAAACAATTGATATGGGTTGGGCTGGACAGACTATTAAATTGCAACAGACGGAGCACTTATTATGTGATCAAAGACCATGTTTACTTGGCCAATTGAATAAGTCAATAAGGTAATATTGTCCACTCCCTTCTTTACTTTTAACAAATTGATAGTGAATTCTTCTCAAATTTGAGAGGAATTAACATTCTAAAAATATAAGTTTCTGTATTATTCGTTATATACATAGAAAAACACATCTAACACACCCCCCCACCCAAAAAAAAAAATATATTTTTTTATTTTTAATACAAATAGAAAAAGCTAGATAGGTTTTTAAATTTGCGGACATCCAGTCAGACATAATTACAATAAATAGAGGCTTTCTCGTTGCATTAAGAGTTGGTCTTGCAAGATCTCGTTTTTATATGGCTTTATGGTAATCGGAGAATATATGCCTGATGATTCTGGTTTCTCAAATAACAATCAAACTAACAATATATATAAACCAATCATCTTTCCTTTTGTATCTTCCACCTTTTTATCACAAAAAATAATCTACTTGTATAAACACATAAAGGAAATGGTCCCAACCATAGTATAGAAATCTATCAAACTATTAAAATGCAACAGACGGAGCACTTATTATGTGATCAAAGACCATGTTTACCTGGCCAATAGAATAAGTCAATAAGGTAATATTGTTCACTCCCTTCTTTACTTTTAACAAATTGATAGTGAATTCTTCTCAAATTTGAGAGGAATTAACATTCTAAAAATATAAGTTTCTGTATTATTCGTTATATACATAGAAAAACGCATCTACCACAAAAAAAAAAAAAAAATGTAATACAAATAGAAAAAATTAGATAGGTTTTTAAATTTGCGGACATCCAGTCAGACATAATTACAATAAATAGAGGCTTTCTCGTTGCATTAAGAGTTGGTCTTGCAAGCTCGTTTTTATATGGCTTTATGGTAATCGGAGAATATATGCCTGATGATTCTGGTTTCTCAAATAACAATCAAACTAATTATATATATATATATATATATAAACCAATCATCTTTCCTTTCGTGTCTTCCACCTTTTTATCACAAAAAATAATCTACTTGCATAAACAAATAAAGGAAATGGTCCCAGCCATAATATAAAAATCAATCAAAAGCGACAGAAAACAATGGGGACATCGTATATTGCCAGCAAAGTAGATCAACATTACCAAGTTATTTTAGTCAAAGAGTCATTTTGAGGTTCAACATAAGATTTGTTTTATATATGGAGTCTTTATCTGTTGATTTGATTCAAATTCCTAAATTATTAATGTTCATAACTAGTCTACAGTGTCTCTCCTTCTCTCTCTTATGATCTTCTGCAGCTTTCCATGTTAAATCGTCCCTCAAAAACTCCGTAGACCCACCTCAAATCATCTCCAAAAACTAAACTCCATGATCAAAACAGCCACTAAAATCCTTCTCCTAGCCATAGCGACCTCTTTCTCCTTCCTGCTCTTTTCATATCCACTGCCCTCTCTGACAATGTCTCGGCATCTCAACCCACTGGAATGAACTGAACAGAATCTTTGTCATTACACGAAGCGTTGGTCCCACTTCCAATTATCTTTTTCGATGCAGGTCAGCAGCAGTAGGTTGTTTCGAAATAACCTTTTGGGGTATATATCTAACTTTGCTTACGGTTCTCAATCTAATGACAAGACTCTATACCATCTTTTAATAATATTAAAAGAGATATACAATATTTAGGAAAGACATCAAACCAATCATCCTGTTGAATCTTCCTTTTTAAATTTCAAGTTCTATTACAAAAACATAACATTAGATAAAGAATAAAAGGGAATGGTCCCAGCCATAGAATAAATCAAAAGGAAAAGCAAAGAATGGCAAAAGGACATCGCATACTGCCTCAATGGAAATAAATAAACATAGAATTCCATAGAAGAAGTCATTTTGAAATGGAATATAAGATTTATTAATGGAAGCTTATCTAAAGGTTCAAACTCTAAATCATTGCATTCATAATAAGTCTCTCTCTTTCTTTCTTATGATCTTCTACGGTTTTCCTTGTTAACTAGCCATTCCAAAACTCTCAAGACCCAACTCAAAACATCCCCAAACCTGAACTCCATGATCAAAACAGCAATCAAAATCTTTCTTCTAGCAGTAGCTACCTCTTTCTCCTTCCTCCTCTTTTCTCCACCACCAAAATCTTTCTATTACTCTCTCTACATATCCCCTGCCCTATCTGACAATGTCTCAGTATCACAACACCTCCAAACCCTCACTCGCCGACCCCATGTCGCCGGTTCAGAGGCCAACGCCGAGGCTGCAGCTTATGTGTTATCAGTTCTCACTTCCTGCAATATAAAATCACATATTGCTTCCTATGCTGTCTCCCTAACTTACCCAGTTTCACGTTCTTTATCACTAACACGTCCGTTCCCGGACCCTCCCATCACTTTCTCTCTCCGCCAAGAAATTTATGATGGTGATCCATTTGCTGATGTTGCTGTTCAAGTCCTACCGACGTTTCATGGATACGGGAAGTCAGGTACTGCAACAGGACCAGTTGTTTATGTGAACTATGGACGCGTGGAAGACTACGTGACATTGGAAGAAATGGGTGTGAATGTGTCAGGTAGTGTTGTGTTGGCAAGATATGGAGAAATATACAGGGGAGACATTGTGCATAATGCGTTTGAGGCAGGTGCTATTGGGGCTCTGATTTATACAGATAGGAAAGATTACGGCGGCGGGAGTGGTGACGCAAGGTGGTTTCCGGATGATAAGTGGATGCCACCAAGTGGAGTCCAGGTGGGTTCAGTTTATGATGGGGTGGGTGACCCGACTACACCTGGATGGGCTAGTACAGAAGGATGTGAGAGGATATCTAATGAAGAGGTTGAGAAAACAGGTGATGTTCCACTTATACCTTCGTTGCCAATTTCGTCACAAGATGGCCATACAATCATGAGGTCCATTGAGGGACAAGTGGCGAATCAGGATTGGCAAGGAGACAAAGATGCCCCTATTTACAGGACTGGACCAGGACCAGGAGTTGTAAATCTCAGCTACAAGGTAAGTATGCAACCTAATTTAAATTTCAGTTAAAGCTTTTATCATTCTAGTCCAACCAGTCAAAACTGTCAAACTAAACAAGTTACTGCTTTGGCAACTGTATGCATTTCAGGGAGAACATGTCATTGCAACAATCCAAAATGTAATTGGTGTCATTATAGGAGAAGAGGAGCCTGATCGGTGAGTTATAGAACTTCTGGAAATGGCATGGTATTAAAAGATTCATTAAAAACTTCAATAAGCATGCAACTAAAATAAAGACCATAATTCAATGTAACGTGGTAACTCATCAAAATGGAATACAGAAGATTAAGTAAACCCACCTCATAGTATTTTGTCCCTGTTGCAACTATATCTAGATTTGTCATCCTGGGTAATCATCGGGATGCATGGACGTTTGGAGCCGTAGATCCTAACAGTGGCACTGCTGCTCTCCTGGAGGTAACCATATTTTTCTCTTCGCAAGAAATAAGCATCACATTTCAATAATCAGCCCTTCAACTGGATTTCACCTGCATCGTAGGTTACGCAAAGACTAGAAAAAATGCAGAAAAGAGGGTGGAAACCTCGACGAACTATTCTGTTATGCAATTGGGATGCTGAGGAGTATGGCCTGGTCTATCTCTCTCCCTATCTTATTCTCTGTATCTGAGAGAGAGAACAGAAACATTAACAACCCCTGCTCTCTTTACAGATAGGATCTACTGAATTGGTAGAAGAGAACAGGGAGATGCTAGCTTCAAGAGTTGTTGCTTATTTGAACGTTGACTCTGCTGTACATGGAGCAGGATTCCAGGCCTCGGCAACTCCACAACTTGATGAACTACTCAAACAAGCTACTCTACAGGTACTCAATTAGTATTGTTAGTGGCCACCACAAAAAATTAAAGACAGCATATTGTTTCAACTATGTGTAAATAATCATCACGTCCTTGATCACAAGACAAACAAGTAGTGGAAGCAGCAACAATAAGAATTAACAAAAAGAAAAGAAACAGTAGTTGACCTATTGTGCTACTTGAATTTAATCTTATTTCAATGTTGCTGCTTTAGCTCATCTTAATCGAATTTTTAACCGATTTTGAAGGTTCAAGATCCAGATAACTCATCACAAACTATCTACGAATCGTGGGTTGGTTCCAGGAATTCTCCAGTGGTAAGTGCAATCCAATAGTTTTAACTGCACCTCCTCAATTTCTATTCCACTTGTCTTTCTCAACAGTACAACCTAACAAATATATACACTCTGCAATTACGTATATACCCTTTACACTACATATACATAGTTTCCAACAGTTTTAATTAACATGACTAAAATCAGATGAGCTTTATCTAGTCCTCCAACCCTCTAGTGATCGACACATAAATCTTGCTTTATAATATATCCATTATCATTCATTCTATATCAAGATTGGGAGACTAGGAGGTCGAGGATCAGATTATGCGGCTTTTGTGCAGCACATCGGTATTCCAGCCGTTGACATGTCTTTTGGAAAAGGTACAAAATACATTGTGCTCTGATCTCTTGAATGATTTTTTATTTTCATAACGTGAACATATAAAATATACTAGCAAAATATGTACATGTGTATATGCATGGAGGCATAGATGATTTTTATATGCATGTACACACTGGTGACAAGAATGAATATTTATGTTGAAAATGCAGCAGCAACATACATATCTAATTACTAAATTATCAATCAGTGAAAGCAAAGCAGTATCAACACTCATATAGCAACAGAAAATAATTGGATACATACAAACTCAAATCAAATCAGAAAACCACATTACTCCATCAAATATTCCCAGTTACGTTGAAAATATTGTTCATGAGGACTTCCCAACTCCTCTCATTTGCTTTGTAGTCCTAAACAGGGCTTTATATGGCATGTGAAGAGGTAGGTAGGTGTTCATGATAGTTGAATCTATTATTTGAATCCAACAGGCCAACATTCTTTAATGTGAACATTTCAGAGTATAATATGTAGTCATAGAGATTAAACATAACTTTCTACTGCAGTATCAGAATGAGTTTTTGATTTTTCATCCTAAAATGAAAAAATTGACTGATAAATGACAAGCAAACTTTATCCTCAAGCAATAAAGCCATCTAACTTGAACACAGGTGAATCAAGTACTACAAAACGGTTGTAAAAGCTTTTATGATATTTTTATTACTAGCAAAAAGGATGTTTGATAAATGATGTCTTAGATGCAGTTATATAGTCTCATGGCTAACGAATAGTACATATCAATCACAGGACCACACCCAGTATACCACTCAATGTATGATGACTTCGTCTGGATGGAAAAGTTTGGAGACCTACTGTTCCAAAGACATGTTGCAGGTTTGTCAGAAAATTTTATCCATGGCATAAATGATTGAAACTCCATCAAACAGAAAATAGAACAAGAAGTATTAAATTTAGTTGATGTCATCCTAGAAGATCCCACCTTATATTGAGATAAGCAAAGATTGGACCATGTTTGTTATAGAAACACAGTATTCACAGCTCATAATAATTACTCCCAGAATTTGTTGAACCACTTCATTTTCAAAGAATCTAACCCCCAAGCTATTCATTATACAATGAGTAACCTTGTAAGTCTGAAATCACATGAATTCCAAGTGTCTATTTAAGCATGCTTACTGACCCTTCGTTTTTTCTCTTATTCAAAAAAAAAAAAAAACAGTCGCAAGTGTTTGGGGTTTAGTAGCTCTTCGACTAGCAGATGAGGAGTTCTTACCTTTCAACTATCTCTCCTATGCTTGCGAGCTCCAGGTATATCAGTATATGACAGGCATCAACAATTGCATGCAGTCATCAGTACAAACCAAATATTATTGTCTATAGCGAAAACTGATAATGCAATTAAAAAACTCCATATTAATAGAAAAGCGCAGAAGACTTGGAGGATGAAGTCTCAGGTAAGGGCATAAGCTTGAATCCCTTGTTCAAGTCTATTGAAGAGCTAACAAAAGCAGCCACCAAAATCAATGATGAGAAAAAGGTTTCAAATAAGATCTTATGATTCAAGACTCGTACAATTAATGTTCAACATGAACTAAATTTAAATATGATTCCCTAGGCAATAAACAAGGCTAAAGGTTGGGCATCTATATGGAAAAAAGATCACTCTAAGGTGAGACAGCTAAATGACAGACTAATGATGGCAGAAAGAGCATTTACAGATCGAGATGGACTCTTTGGAAGGACATGGTACAAGCACTTGGTATGTTTCTCCAATTATTAACTTTTTGCAGCACTATTCACAGAATAAAATTTTTGACAAAAACTACGAAATGAAAACATCCAGGTTATAATGCAATATGTTGATGCAATCAGATCTTTGTTTTGGTCTCCTTTTTATTAGTACTAAAATGGAATAACTTTACCTTCCATCTTTCTTTCAGATTTATGCGCCCTCAAAGCATAATAATTATGGGTCTAGATCCTTCCCTGGAATACAAGATGCCGTTGAAGAGGCAAACAATCTAAAAACAGCAGAGTCATGGCTTACTGTACAACATGAAGTTTGGAGAGTCTCCAGAGCAGTCAATCATGTCTCTCTAGTCCTCAATGGGGAACTAACATGAAATGCATAATCTACAATGTAATGATTCTCGAGGCAATTTATGAACAAATGTTCTGGATGTACTACAAGTTTACTAGAGGAACGGTTTAGCCAGACACAATGGTAGTCAGGAGACAGCCAAACTGTTCTTGACTTACATGAATAAAAAACAGAACGGAATAAAGTAATTGACAATAAGCCCTATATTTCCAATTTTGTCCTTAGACTTTCTCTGGGATTAAATTCCTAATTAAATCACAGATTATCAAGTCATTTTGGGCCACCTGGATCAATGTTCTCACAGCTCTTTCACATAATGCAACATGCCTAACTTCTCATCTTCTCTTGGTTGGCTATCTACAAATGTTAATACCATCATATCCTCCATGTTGGACAAAATCAAATAAAAAAAAATAGAACTGTAGAGAAAGAGCTAAACTGATAACTGCAGAAACATCCATTGACAACTAGACTACCACTACCATAAATTAACTGGAATCAAGAAGATTGCATGAAATAAAATCATATCAATAGTACATACTATCCAAAAAAGAAAAAGAGTGCAAACCCCGAAGTTAAACACTAACAAAAGCAATTCCAAGTTTTCAAGATCTCACAACAGTCACAACATTCTCCGCAAAAATGGTATCTCCTAAACTATGAAAACTCACTCAGATAATCCTCAAGCTCGCCAACCACTCACAATGAGAAAAACACATTTCCACAAGAATGAAGGAATTTTAGAAATAAAAATCAAATCTATAGATTGACAGAATAGTTAAAACGTTCAGGTGCTAGAGAACCATGAGAACAAAGTATGTCCTATAAAAATTACACTCCATCCAACATCATTATTCTAGCACTCAATGCAGAAAAAACCAGCAAGACACCATGAAAAGTCTCAAGGGATACCTCTGGTTAGGCGTGCAAATGAGCTAAGCTCAGCCAAATTAGATAGCTTATCAATTTAAGTTGAGTAAGAGATAATGAGCACAAACAATTGAGTTTCAAATTTTAGAATCAACACCATTTGCAAAGGACTTGAAATAAGCTCAAGCTCAAGTCTTATTTATTTAATTAAATATCAACCACTTGGAGTGCAATGTCAAGCTCATATTGCAGCTCAATTTTAAGACTCAGAAATATAAATATATATTAGTTACATTGAACAAATAGATGAAAGCTTTTGTTTGTAAGTGTGTGTGCATAAATAAATAAATAAATAAATATATATATATATATGTATAGCGGCAGGTTCAAGGCACATTTTTTTTACACAAATTATGATATAGTTTTTGAGATATTGAATCAAGATACTTTCAATGGCTCATATTCAATGCATCTTGAAAATGACACAACTAAGATGCAACCTCAATCGTTCAAATGCATCAACCAAATTACTGAAAAATTGTGTCAAAACTTGTGTTAAAAATACGAGGTTCTCTCTATATACAGGGGAAGGTTCAGTTGCTCTTGATGCTGAAAGAGGGAAACTAAAATCATCAATAAACTGTACATAATACTTAAACCCTTCTAATGAAGCAAATGGAGCAGGACCCCACATGTCACTATGCATAAAGTTCAGTTGCTTTTGATGCTGAAAGAGGGAAACTATTCCTATGCATATTTCTTAAATGGTAGGTGTCACAAAAAGACTACTATAGTTTTGAACATAGTTTGCTATCAACATGACTCATAATCTTATGAAATGCCTTAAAGTGAGGGTGTTCTAGTCTGTTATGTCAGAGCAAGCTTACATTATTTCTACTATTGGTAACTTGACAAGCTAAAGGATGACAACGAGATACATTGTCAGTTCCAGAATTATCATGTTGACTAGTAACCAAACATTGCTAATCATGCATGAAATGAGAATGACAAGATGCATGAGAATCACAAACATATTGGCTTTTAAATCCAAATCATTGTTGCTTTTATTAAGGCTATTGCTTTTATTAAGGGAACTGTCATTACAAGTATTGATATTACAAAAGCTACAATCTAATTTTTTACAGTTTTCTTTGCAAACCAAAGTTTCAGGCAGATATTTTGACATCAAATCATTATTGAATTCTTTAACACAAGCTAAAGGAGAGTTGAACACTACTAAAAAGATACAATACACAGAATTTAATTGGGAAAACTATTGGAAGCAACAGATTGTGAAGACAAATTGGAGGAGGGAAGACTCAACTGATAAGGTCCAGCTTTAAGCTCTCCCTACAATAGCACTTTCCTTGTAGCCTTGTCTTTAACAGTACAACAATCAGAAGTGAATTCTACTACAACATTGTTATCTTCGGTAAATTTAGCAATGCTGAGAAGATTTTTGGTTATTCTAGACACACATAAGACATTCTTTAGATGTAGACATTTTTCCTTTCAGCTACACCATTAGATGCAAGTGAATAAGGAGGTGTAATTTCATGGATAATTCCTAAAAATTGGACATATGAGTTAAATCCAAAAGATTCGTACTCTCGGCCTTTATCACTTCGAATTCTTTTTATCTAATTAGTTTTCAACTTCAAGGAGGAACAATTTACACATTTCAAGAGCATCGCATTTATTCTTAAGTAAATACACATACGTAAACTTGAAAAAAACATCAATCAAAGTAATAATGTATATATTTCCTCCTTGAGTCAAAATTCCGTTAAACTCACGTAAATCAGTATGAATCAATTCAAGCAATTCTTATTTTCTTTCAACACTTTTATGAGGCCCCTTAGTGATTTTTTCTTTACTGCAAATTTCATATTTTTCAAATTCTTTGTTTGATCAAGGAATTGATCCTAAACTACTCATCATGCCAACATATCTAGAATTAATATGAAAAAAACGAGCATGCCAAAAATTCACACAAGACCACCAAAAAAAAAAAAAAAAAAAATGCTGAAGCAGAAGTAGTTTTATTATTCTCAACATTCAATTTAAACATTCTATCATTAGCATAACCCTTGCCAACAAAATTTCCCTTCTTAGAATTATATATTGATCAGACACTATAGTCTGTTTGAAACAAGCTTTATTGAGAAGGAAACTTGACACCAGATTCTTCCTCAAGGAGGGAGTATACATCACATCTTTCGCAATTCAATGACTTAACTCCCGTCATCTTTAATCTTCCAACCTTCCATCTTTCATCTTCTAATCTTTCATGGGGATAATAAATAAAAAAAAAAAAAAAATGCAAGTTACAACAATAATAGTAGTGGGCTTCAAAGCCACGGGTGGTTTAAGTAATTTGGCCCTTGTATCCAGCATTTTATTTCTAACTTTTGGAACTTGAAATGTCAATGAGTTTGAAATCTCATCTGTAATTTTTAAAATTTTGATGCCTCTTACGTTAACTTCAATCTTGTTAATCCCATCAATTATTTACACATAAAAAACAAGATTACTTGTTTTGGTTGAGGGAAAATCTTTTGCGTGTTTGGTATAACTACATGTAAACCTCAAATATTAATACTTGGCTAAGAGAAAAGAGTTAACATCATGTTCCCACCCAAAAAATGGTCGATTGACAAATTCATACATGCCCACTTTTTAAATACCCTTTTAATACCTAAAGCACACAATTTTGTTAATAATTTTCGTTGTGAGGAAGGGTAAAATGGTCAAAAGTTTATTATTAATAAGGGTAGAATGGTCAACGAACATTTGGCCGTAAAAGAAGAGACAAGAAAAGGGACAACGCATGTTAATAGCATCGCAGTCAACGATTTTTGCCCTTTTTGGGCAGATCCTAACGTCCAAATCACTTTCGAGACCACCCACAGAATCCCCGTCACCTCTTCTACAAAGACCAAGCCTCCATTTGTCGTCTTCATTCACTATTTCCCACCATTACCTCCATTCACATGGCTAACTCTTCAAGCCAAATTTTTGATCGTTTTTTGTGTCGGAAATCCACCTTGAAACTCACTGCCTCCCTCATCCTCTCTCACCCTTAATTCATTCACCCTGAGCCTAGTGCACCTACCAATCACCGGAAATCACCGCCTAAGTTTTTGTGTGATTTCCCATCTTTTTGGCCTTTTTTCAGCCGATTCAGTCACCCAAAACACCCTCTGCCACCACCGTCCAACTCCCCACCCTCTGCTCTTCAAAATCCACCCCTCCCCTAACCCTCCGTGAGAGCCATTGGCTGCCTATGTCCAGCTCTTTCCGCTGTGGGACAGTTGCAATTTGCTGTGGTTTCCTCCGCAAATCGTTGGGTTTTTGGTGCTCAATTAGTGGGTTTTGATTGGTTGTTTTGGTGTTGTGTGTGTGTGTGTGTGTGTGTTTTTTTTTTTTTTTTCCTTTTTTTTTTTTTTGCCACCATTCTCTCCTAGATCACTCCAACCTCGCTGCCCCAAAGTCGCTCACCAGCTGTTCGATTTATTGCTACACCCAGCTCCCAGCAACGAACTGTGACAATTGCCATCAGTAGAAGAGGCTAAGAAGAGAAGAAAAAAAGGGGTTTTTTCGTAAATCATTGTATTTCTCTTCCAAAACATAATATTTGGGTGCTGAAAGCATATTTAAAAAGTGTACGGGTATAAATTTGTCAATGGACCACATTTTGGGTGGGAACATGTCCTCTAACTCTTTACCGAAAAAGAATAAGATTAAGATGTACATTCCAAGGCGGCAATTAATGTGAAAGTGTTAAGAAACAATGACACAAACTGGTCCAGTTACAAAAGCCAGTCCAAAGGATAGCTATCATATATTCATATTGTCAACTAAAGCTCTACTGGACCATCATGACTGGGCGGTGTCTTTTGGGTCTCTGTTGGGTCAAATCAAATCCCTTTTCCCTTTCCATCTTCCACATACACTGCAAGTTTAAGCTTACTAATGTATTGGCCTTGTTTTTCTATAAATATAATCTTCATAGTAATTACAATAAAATGAGAACAAAGGAAGAAACAAACCAAAAAAAAGAAAAAAAAATGCCATACCTTTTTCCATTATCTGGCTTTGTTCAAAATACAACCAATTCTTTATGCAGAAACGAGGTTCTTGATGTGGGTATAAAGACTCTGGAGTCTTAACTAAACAATTGATTTGGGTTGGGCTGGACAGACTATTAAAATGCAACAGACGGAGCACTTATTATGTGATCAAAAACCATGTTTACTTGGCCAATTGAATAAGTCAATAAGGTTATATTGTCCACTCCCTTCTTTACTTTTAACAAATTGATAGTGAATTCTTCTCAAATTTGAGAGGAATTAACATTCTAAAAATATAAGTTTCTGTATTATTCGTTATAT